TTTTCAAGACTTTGTTAGGTAGCTTTAGGGATGGAATCTCAATTTGTCCTCTCATAAAGAAAATGTGGTACTAAAATACATAAATAACCAACAGTTTCTAAGTTTGAGAGAACTCTCCTTATTCTCCGACAGAGCAAAAGTTGTCATTCCATCCTCATCTCTTCTCTCTAACAGGACTGGATATGCAGCTGCTCCATTCAAATGCTTTCTTTATTCTCCCCAACAATCTCCTTACATTCACTCTCCCTATCCCCCTTTACTGCTCCTTTTCTGTTTATACTATAAACTGTCAATGTAATAAGAAGTAGAAACTTCTTATAAGAATAGATATATAAGAATATATATATAAGAATAAGAAGTTTCTACTTCTTATTACATTGACAGTTTATACTATAAACCTCAGGCAGCTTTTTTTTTTTTTTTTTAATTATTGTTTTCCATATCATCCCTTAATGGAGTCCTCTGTTCTGTCTCTCTGATAGTTGTGCTGATTCATTTGGTTCTCTCACCTTCACCTGATGAGAGCTGCATTTGAGCCTGGAGGGGATTCCCTAAGGAGGACTCCCTTTTGCCAATGCGAAGTGTAGGATGAGGACTGCTAACACTTGGGATTTGGCAGAACTCAGCCTCACTGGTGCCAGCTGGAGGGGGCAGCCATTTTGAATTAAATAAGACGACACACTTGAAGGGAAATACAGAATTAAATGAAAACTAATATAATGAAAACTAATATAAGCTGCTTAGAGCATCAGATTTATACCAGAAAGTCACATTTTAAAACATTAAATTGCTTGATAACAAACTTGCACAGATTTCATTATGCTTATTAAAGAAACTGATAAACAATTAACATTAGAATAGCATGGAGGTATATTAAATATTTACCTGCCCATTTCAGCAGCACTGCTTTAGCACAGTTCTTTTCATCTGACAACACTGAAGCTGTTGGAATTATTCACTATTTTAAACAAAGCTAGGCAGTCTGGCAATATGAAAGCATTCTCTCCAGTCAGTAGTGCATTTTAACTGCTACAATAACTGCATATAAAAGTTAAATGGCAAGATCACTTTATATTTTATATTTGCTCGATTCTGTCTTTCTACACACAAGGAGCTCTCCATTAAGCTCAAATGAAATAAAAGTAAACTGAGAAAAATGTTTCTACAGTAAAACTCAGTTTTTCAGTAACGTACTTTAACCTTCAAGTTAGTTGGAATGTTCACTTTGTGGCAGAAAGACTGGCATGGGTTTTTAGCTGTAGAAGGCATAAATTACTTCATAATGAATTTAATCAAACAAAAATGCACTCAGTACAATCTTAGCTGAGTTAGCTAGGCTTACTTGAGCTTTTCTTACATTTGTTTCTTTGGAGCTGGCCCAGGTCAAGAAATTCAGGTACCAATTTGAGTGAAGCTTTTGTGTCCTGATACAGCTGCTGTTACCATCTTTTAACTTCCAATTACAAAGCAGTTGGTTGGTAGGAAAAAAAAAAAAAAAAAAAAGCTTTCCTTCTGGTAGCTAATGGATCAAAAGCTTCCATTAAAGCTTGAATTTCTTTGGTTATGTAGCATTTCTCTGTTTGTGACTGTCATGATTACTTTCATTATCTTAATATTTGATCTGCAAAGTGAAGCTGTCTCCTGTCTCCTTCCACATCAGTCTTTTCAGCATCTGCAGAGCAATGACCCAGGGAGCAAGAAGGGACATAAAGGAGGGCTGCACAGTGATCAGGGCCAACCCCGTACTAGCTGAGGTTTCAACAAATGAGACATCTGCTGCTGCTGTCAGAAAGCAATTTTCCTGGCCTTTAATGATTCAGAGCAGTGCAAACAGGTTAGAGCAAGTGTTCAGAGACTCTTAATTACAGCATTAATTCAAGGTGAGTGGACCACACAGTCCAACATAAATAGACAGCAGAAAGCAAATACAAGGGTGGTTTAACAAGCCGTTTTCAACTACCGTAATTTATCTTTCTCAGAGTTCAGCCACAAAGCTATGCGTATTTCATTCTTTGAAAAGACAGCCTGGAACTTTATAAAACACTGATAGTTTCACACTTCAGACTTCTGCTATGTGACTTTCGTACAAGTGTTAGCATTCCTTTTCCAGAATTATCAATATCATTGATTATCTAGAACAAATATCCAGAACAATTCATGGATCAGCATAAGATGGAATACAAATGCCTGCAGACTAAATTCTGAAAACTATCTGACCTATAACATCCAAATGAAGTTCATTCCTTTCAGGCTGTGTACTGAAGTAGGAGATATGTGGATGGTGGTTGTGGAAGGAAGGTAGCTAAAATGAAGACCTGCAGTATGGAGTGGATGTGATGGTATATAGTAAAATACTTACCTGCCTTTTTATTGTTTCCTGAGTAAGGTTATTACTATTTCTTTGTTTCTTTAAAGGATTTGGAATTATACCAGTAGCTCAGTAATGAAGAAACAGTAATTTGCAATTTGGAAGTAACTCATATCATACAGCCCATGTGCTGATTTTTGTTTTGAAGTTTCATACTTGCCCTATTTGTGTTTCAGTTGGAATGCTTTTAGAAATGGTGTTGTGACAGGTGGCTCCCTAATGTTTTCTGCATCTAAGCAACGTGGCGCCATCCCCTTTGTAATAGCGGTGATGTTTTTCAGTAGATGATACAACCTTGTCAATAATTTCTTGTACGTAAATTTGGAGATTTGAAAGAAGCTGGGAATACTGGAAGCACTCCTTTGGCTGCTCCACGTAGCTGCTCCACGTAGCTGTATGCTCTGGGTGTAAGAACGCTGCGTGCGGCTCAGCTGCCGTTGCGCGCTGTCAGCTCAGTGCGGAAGGCGCTGCTTCTGTCCGAGCTCCTCTGGGCAGCGGAGCGCAGCAGCCCGAGCTGAGCTGAGCCGCCCGCCCGGCGCTGCAGGCCCTGCTTGGGCAGCCAACGCCGCCCCCGTCGGACTGCAAAACCCAGAATGCCGCGGCAGAGCATGCGCTGACAGCTCCCAGTTGTCAAAGTGCTCTTGCCAGAGTGGCCGACTGTTTGTCACACACCAAACCCGAAAGGAGAAAATAAACACACTGTTTTATTGAGCTTTAGATACAGAAAATCCAAAGGTAACTGTTCCTTAAGAATTTCTGCGTCGACTGCATGGGTTACTGCATGCAAGCAGAGGTGGTATTGCTGTGGGGATATAGATTTCCTGTTCTGGTTCATGTATTTGCTCAAATACTTATAGCACCTCTTGATTATTTGCTGTGTATGGTAGTCCAGTGTTAGACATGGGTGGCCTGGCAGTCTTTTTTTTTTTTTTTTTTTAATCCAGTGTTTTTCCATTCAGACTGGCTTTGCTGTTAAAGGTAGGTCTTGACCTTGACAAGAGAGTTGAATTGTGGTGATTTTACCTTTAAGAAACAGTATGAAAATGAATGTGGATTACAGTCTTTAGGATAAAGTTCAGAAACAAATGGCCAAGTCAAGGTACATGTGTGAAACAACTGCTGTGCTAGTCACTATAGATAACCCGATGACTAACTGATTTAAATATACTTTACTGATGACAGGACTGTAGTATTTCAGCTGCTGTATTTTTTTTCCTCAATATACTTTTGTGCAGGGAAGGGATAAGCAATTATGCTTTTTCTCTCTGCTATAGAACTGACAATAATTTTCTGCAGTCTTAGGATTAATGGTGATGTTGCTATAAATGCAGTTGATGGAAAGTTACACGGAGCTTGCTGTGTTCTGGTTTTTCTGCAGCACTGCTTTAAACTGCCTCCAGGTTTCCCCTGCCCCATTGGCAGCAGCAGGGCTGCCGGCTGGATATGATAGTTTTTGGGAACTTGCCCTAATGTTGTCTCATAGCATAGCCTTTGCATGAACCCTTGCTGTTCATTTCATACGGAGAGGGGAAATACTAGGGAGCAAGCCAAGTAACTTAACTTATAGCAGAAACGTATCCTTACATTCATTTGAGGTAAAAAAAAGTCTATGAATGACTATGTAGGAATCAAAGAATAATAAACTAAAGGTGTGCATAGGCCATCTCAAAACCGTTGTCAGGAGTCACTGACTTTGCTCTTTGACACCTTTCTTAACCAGATAATTGGTTTGGCTGAACTTTACTTCATTATGTTGAAACAGCAATCCTAAAAACAATGTGGCCAAGCTGTTGTGATTAGCTCAGTAGAAATGCAATAAGGCATTTGGTGATGGCTATCTTTTACATACTTCAATTGAGAAACTGGTTTTGCCTCATTCAAAATGCTTTTGAGATGTACAGATCTCTTCAACTGACTAGAAGTCTGTGACATGTGGAGGATCCTGTTTTAGTTCCATGCAATGATGTCTGCATCTGCATTAGTATTATGGTGTTTTGAAATATTGATCAAATTCCAGTACCTGCCCTCCTTTATATGAATCCCCTCTTCTGTCAGGTATAAGACTCAGTCATGCTATGTACATTCGTTTCTAAAAGTTTAAGCTTAGGTATCGATGTAGCAAATAAATTCCATTGCTAGTCTTTGTCTTGCGCAGCTAAAGATGGCCATGTCTCTACTTAGAACATCCAGCTAACCTCATTTTAATTTTTCACTGTGAAAGCATCAGGAGCGTTACAGCCGAGTAGCACCTCCCCGATTTGCTCCTTTTGGCCTTATATTTCCCTACGAACAGATGACGGACGGTTTTCTGGAGAAGGCAATAGAGCGGGACGCCTTTGCGGCGAAGCAGCGCTGTGCCCCGCAGTGCCGCCGGCCCGGCCCCGCCGCAGGGTCGCTCCTCGTCCCCGCGGCCCCAGCACGGCTGTGCCGGCCGGAGAGCCTGGCTGCTTGCTGGGGAAATGGGTACCGGCTCCTTTAAAGGTGCCCTCATCGGAAAGGGGGTGGAGAAGAGCGGAGACTGGTGTCTCTTTAACCTTGCTGAAGGACGCAGCAGTATTTATTGACGTATGCAAATAGCCAGGGGGAGGAGGTGGAGGAGGAGGAGGAGGGTGCTTGGAAAAACAGGAACCAGAATCAGTTTCTCATTGCAGGGTGAGAGCTCTGAGTTCCGGTGTAAGAGAAAAGAGACGTGGCGAAATTGCTGTATATCTCTGCCCTATAAGCACATCTCTCATTTAGACTGAAGGGAAACAAGGCATCAAAAAGGGTGAAGCATCTTAAAAAATATTTTCAAGGCAATCTAGCATGATCAAAGCTTACATGTTCCTAAATGGGGGAGGGGGAAGATTACGGGTTTGCCTTGCAACTTGCTGTAGCATATAGCACTACTAATAGGAGGAGATTTTTGACCGGCAAATGATTAAAGCAGCCTCGTTTGTGCTATGAATGACAATGCTAATAATCTGTCTTTGTGGTTTTTTCCCCTACTGTTTCAGCTGCGCAAACCATGCAGGATGATTTACTGATGGACAAAAGCAAAGCCCAGCCCCAGCAGCAGCGGCAGCAGCAGCAGCAGCAAGATCCAAACTCAGCAGAAGCCCCCTCTACGCCCATCTCGTCAGAGACGCCCAAGCCAGAAGACAACAGCTCAGTGACTAGTATCGGCACATCGGCTCCTTCCCAAAATAGCAAGGAGAAGATGCAGATGGAGTCTCCCATTTTGCCTGGCTTGAGCTTTCACCAGCCTCAACAAGAACCTGCAGCCGGCACCTCCTTGTCTCCCTCCTTCGGCAGCACCTGGTCGACGGGGACCACAAACACGGTGGATGATAGCTTTTTCCAGGGGATTACTCCGGTCAATGGAACAATGCTTTTCCAGAATTTTCCACACCATGTCAACCCTGTATTTGGTGGCACTTTCTCTCCTCAAATTGGCCTAGCTCAGACTCAACACCACCAACATCAGCAGCAGCAGCAGCAAGCTCAGCAGCAGCAGCAGCAGCGGAGGTCTCCTGTGAGCCCTAATCAGGCACCTTTTGCCCAGAGAAATGCTGCTTACAGCCATCAGCCCATCATGACCAGCAAACCGTCTTCCTCCTCTGCATCCTCTTCTTCTTCCTCCAGCTGGAATAACCATCAAAATGCAGCTTGGAGTACACCTTCCAACCCTTGGGGTGGGCTGCAGGCTGGTAGGGACCCTCGAAGGGCAGTTGGAGTGGGGGTCGGCGTGGGAGTGGGGGTCGGCGTACCCTCCCCCCTCAATCCCATTTCACCCCTTAAAAAACCATTCTCCAGCAATGTCATTGCCCCTCCGAAGTTCCCACGGGCTGCACCCTTAACCCCCAAATCCTGGATGGAAGACAACGCGTTCAGGACGGACAATGGCAACAATCTGTTGCCTTTTCAGGTAAATGTGCCTTCTACATAGTGACAGCTATCGCAGTTGTATTTTATTGCAGGAGTGCATTTCACGTTACTTTTCTATGTGAGAGGCATCTCCATACTTCATGTCTGCACTGAATAGTCATCCCACATAAAAGAGATAAGCTTGGTCCCAGGGAGTGCATACTCAGAGGTTCCAAATTTTGGCTTGATGTTAACAGTTTCCTTGTTCTTATAATCTGTTCTTAAACATGACTGGGCTTAACCTTTTTGTTGTTGTTGTTTTTGTTGTTGTTTGTAGCATTAGAAAGGTAGTAGCCTTCTTACATGAAAGGCAGGTTTGGCAGACTGTGTTCTATTTGGTGCTCTATTTTTTTTTTTCTATGTTTTTCCATATGAGAAAAGCAGGAGACATTAAAATTGCTTGCTTCAGTATTCTAACTGACATGTTAATTTTAATCAAAGGTGCTTTTGGACTTAAAATTCAGTCAATTATTTTATCACTATTGAAATAACTACTTGTCTTTATGCTGGGGCATTTAACAGAGGGATCTGTTCATATGAGGTATATATAGAAAAAGCTGTGTATGTCTGATATTCCCCCTGTGCTGTTATATTCATGGTGGACGTTTTGAATACGTCTAGAAGCAGCGTGGGTGTGTATGGAAAGAGTGGCGTATCTGTCCTTTCCAGTAAGGAAATAACCAATACAATTGGTGTGATTTAGAAATGGCAGGGAGGTATTGTATAAAATAAACTAATGTATGCTGTTCAAAATATTTGCAGAGAAAAGAGACAATAGGACACGACCTTCAGAGCCATATTGCAATGGAGTCTATTTACTAGCTACATAGCTCTGAAATATTTAAAGCTGCAGTGCCCTTCAGTGTTTTTTTTATCTATGACGACAAAGCAGATCAATTGCAGCTGAAACTGGGCCACACAGAAGATTTGCAATTTTAATGCAGAATGAAACCTGTCATGGTGTGAAATCCATTTTAAGTTGAAAGAAGCAGGGCATGCACTTGCAGTTTTATTTATATAAGGTGAAGTGAATCACTCTTTTCTGCCAGGCTAGCCTTTTTAGTCTCAGATATATCAAAATTTCCTGTTTTGGAATGCAGTGAAATCTTTCGTGTATGCTTTATTTTAAGGTACTAGCTTTCTCAGTAAACTATGAACTCCCAAACATTTGTAACAGATCGGTTTTGTATGAATAGTGTTTAGCTTGATACTTAGTGTTAGAAACAAAGCAAACAAACAAAAGACAAACCCCACTCATTACTTTAAGAGATCGTTGAAGTAAGATATATGCATTCCTGTGCACTTTTTAGTCCCATTCAAAGAGAGTATCTTATAGTCAGCCCTGATATTTCATTTTGCTGCTTCATTCTATTTAAAGGGAGAGTTGCTAATTTTTTATTGGCTACCCTAAATTAAGGCGGAGTGTCTGTTGATAAACTGCTGGGCAATGTCTCTAGGTCTGAAGTCAGGAGAAAGGTTATACTTCAGATACAATATGCCTAGTGAAGCTATTATGTTGCATAGAACACACTAGTGCAAGAGCAGTGGATATAGCACTCAGTCATTCCTTTAGGAGTGTCAAATGTTTCAGTTTACAAGTACTCTTTTATTGATCACCATTTAAGACGTTACAAACTTGGGTAAATTTAGTAGGACAAGCAATAGTGTATGATCTTATGTCTGTGCTTTGGTCAACGTGATACATAAAGTTGTGTATTCATTAAGGAGGTATTTATTATTGCGACTAGAAATTGTCACAGATTAATCTGTCTGGTATTCAGTCATCATGGTGGGAAGAAAGTAAATAAATGCTTTAAAGAAAAGTTCATTTGATTTTTAAAATTAAGGTTTCGAAAATGTAAGGTATTAGTCAGTATATAAATTTGGAAATGTTTCCTTCTCTTTGAACATGATCTTGTGTCTTCCTGTTTAACTGAAAGCAAACACTTAGACTAATTTCAGCACCAGCTGAAATACCAGTCTGATTTCAGAGACTGAGAAAGCTTGTGGTTTTTTTATTCATGTTGTTGTTGTTGTACTATTAAAAAAAAAAAACAAGCAAACATTCTTTTTAGTACAAACTGCTGAACTTTGCATATGAGGCTGTGATCTTCATTAATGCCAATTGCTCTTAAACTTCACAAATTGCCAAAGAAATCTTGAAACTGTACTTCTGGTACGAAGCAGCTGTTTACTTCAAATTTACATTGATAAAATGAGTTTCATATGAGTGTAATATTTGCTGCCTGGGTTGTGGTTGCGTTTGTTTGTTTTTCCTCATAGAAATTGGGCAATATGTTGACACAGTAAGTACTGCTTGTCAGCACTATCAAGCAATTCTGGCAGGTTTGTCCATGTACATCTGCCACCCTTCAGAACTGAAGCTTCTGTTGTTGTTTTTAATTTGCCTCAGAAATACCTTTCAGTAAACTTCCCATGCAAGTAAAAATTAGTAAGTTCCATGTACTGACCCTTTAATTTACCTTTCATTGAATTATATAATCATTTTACATTTTTAGTTAATCTTGAATTAATTAATTATTAGCATGTGAAGCTCAAGGTGTTCTGAGTCAAAAGGAAACTCATGTGTTCACTGTTGGAATTAACAGTGATACTTTTTTTTCAGTTCAGATTTTATTCATAAAAAATTTGGTGTAGAGAACTTCTGTAGTCAAGAATCGTATTCTGAATTTGTAATATTTGAAGATAGCTGGTATCAACTTCTGATTAATATATTTCTGAAGAAAAAATAGATTTTTTTGATGTTTCTCTAATGAATATGTGTATAGAGAAATAAGCTAGGTGTCTTTATCCCTGAATTTGAGCAGTAGATTAGTGTGCCTTGTACATAAAAGCCTATAAGGTGGCTGCCTGGAGGACCTGTGCTAAATTACAAGAGCACATAAAGTATCAATTGAGAAGAATGCTGTTGGCATCTGAATCATGATCACTGCTGAAAGGCAACTAAAAATGCTTTGAAGGAAACTGTTTTAATATGCATATGAGGAAAATAGATTGCATTGTATTAAAAAAAAACCCTGAAGATACAAAGCTGATAGCTGGTAAAGAAGAACAAAAAAGGCAGTTGGTATGGAATGAAATGTACTGTAGCAAATAAGAGTTGGAGATAAGATTGTGGGAACAGATGTGGAACAAGGCCAGATCTGAAGCATAGAAATGCAGCCAGTCTGTTCTGAATGTTCTTTGGCTTATGGGTGGTTTAGGCCAAATTCACCTGTTGTGTTTGTCATGTCATCACAGCAGTGTTTGCCATTATGCCAGGTTATCCTCATTTCTGGTGTTTGAGGTTGACATTAACTGATTGTCCCTGGGACCAGGGCTGCAGCTCAATTCCTTTTTACAGTAGAGCAGTGGAGCTTGAAGAGAGCTATTGTCATCTCGTGCTTCTGAGCTGCTCCCAGAACTCTTCTTTTTTTCAGTTCTCTCAGGTAAATAATGTATTTCTTTTGGCTTTTTCCTTATAGATATATTGTGATATATTTTCCAATAGACATATTGTGACACAGCTTGTGGGGTTAGGAGGATTGATAGTGCCTGAAATAGATTCTTGAAAGCATGGATAAGAAATTATCTTTACTGTGGAGAAGACAGAGAAGGAATTAAATATTTGGAGGCCAGTATGTTGATTTAAAGAAGTCTACCATGTGGGATTTTAATAGAACAATAACACTATAGCAAATAAATGAAAGATTTCTCAGAATTTATACAAGTTTTGTTAGATATGCTTCTTTTCCAGTAATGTTCTTTAGAAAGCATCAAAAATGCATAATAGCAAACTGTAGATTTAAAAACTGCATAGCAATTCAGTGCCCTGAAGATTTTGGCGTGTATTGAGTCATTCTTGACAGCTTTACTGATAAATACATCCCTAATAAAAATAAATAATGGGGTATTTACTGTGGATAAAGATAATTTTAACATGCCTTCTTTTGCAGAGCCTGTTAGTAGCCAGGGATCAGAGATAATAATGACAAAACTTTCTTGTTTTCTATTTTTGAAAAAGGAATTTAAAATTTGAAACAGGAATTTGAATAGGAATCAGCATTCATACAGCTGATATAATAAGGTAAATTTTAAAAGATACATGTTTTACTCAAAATTCCAAACATGAAGCTGGTTGGAGTACAAATATGTGTAGATATTTCTGCATCTATACATATTTACATGTTAGTATGTATATTTCTGTATTTAGATATAGATACACTAATTAGGTTCAAGTACCTTATTGTGTGTAGTAGTAAACACAATGGAGCTCTTTAGTGAGTGAAATGAAGACTGAGGAAATGGCCACAGTATAATGCTGATAATTCTGATGTGATTTTCAGTTGACAGTTAATAGACAGCTCCATAAGAGGCTATTTTCTTTGAATATTGAAGTTCTTTGAGCCTGTCACATTAGTCCATACATAGCTTTACCTACTCCACTGCAAGTTCGTATTCTAAATATGTATATGCACACACCCACGTGTATATAAATGTACATGCAGTGCACTCATGCACAGAATAATTCTCTTCTACTTCTGGGAAAAAATGTTAAAGATCTAATTAATTTCAGTCTTGAAAACTTAGACTTCAAGTCTAGATTTTTTTTAAGCTAAAAATTGCATAACATGTAATAAATGTATTTGAAGACTTTTTGAAGTGCTATTTCCCTGTTCTAAATTTGACGCTCTGGGTGCTGACTTCTTGACAGTATAGTAGGTAATTATAGTGGTAACAGGAGCACTATTGCTGTCCTGAAAACTATTTCTTCAAGTGTAGTGTAATATTAATTCTTCTTATCTGATGCTACAAAAGTGTACTGACAGCCTGTGACTGTGAAATAAGCAAACAAAAATGGCACGGAAGACAAAGTTGTTGTTGTGGAAATAACTTAGTTGGATTTTCTGCTCTCCTCCTGCCCTCTCCTTCCTTCTGACGTGCTTCTGGTGTTACTGTGTCACTGAACATAAATAAGGCCTAAAGTAGCCTGATGCTGAA